GAGCCCACCGGCGTCCAGCATGATGGCTAGTACCCTGATGGAAGTGGACCAGCTTAGGGCTCTTACCGACTATGTTAAGAACATTGAGAACGAGCTCTCGCACCACAACGAACTGAGAGCGCCGTTACTCATTGCCGTAAGAATCACCTCTCGACCACACATGAACGTCACTAACATATTCTTAGTTCTCTCCTCGCCACCCTAATGCACAGAAGGCCATGGCAAACTGGGAGCGCAAGTCGCAGTACCTCCTTCGTGAGATTGTCAAGTTCCGCACCTATATCGACACTCTGGCAACTGCGCAAGCGCAGAAGCAAAAGATCTACGCTGAGCGCGAAGCTCGTGAACAGCAAGAGCTCGAGGAGGCAGAGAAGGAAGCAGAAGCCAGTGCGAAGAACACTGAAGATGATGGTGCGATCCAAGCTTCCGAGCCTGCTCCATCCAAGACCATCCCGAACCCTGCTCTACCAGCAGCTTTCCTTTTACATCCATGATCGCCAATTTTTTATTCTGGCGTACACTGACGATTGATTTCTTTGTTACGAATAGTTACCCCCTTAAAGCGCACGATACGGCGTTTGCGTCTGCTTCATTCGTCGAAACCGAGCCTAAGACAGCGTCCGCACTCGGTGGCTTGACGCACTGTTATACCTATTGTAATCTGTACGAAGTTCTCACGTTTGGCGTCTCCAGCAATTTCCTCGGTTTTTTCTTTCTCGTCCCTTCTTCTCTCGAACGAACACGTACGACCACCCCAAGAGTCTTTTGAATCGGACTTCACTCTGTACGATTATATTCGCATCTAGTCATTATCAAGCTCGGGAAGATTGATGATCTATATGGTTACTTTGGGACGGAGCTCGCTCTTCATTATTTCATCCTTAGACTGGGCGGAAGAGCACGATGAAGAAGCAATTGTTCGAATATTATACCCCATGTTCTCGAATAGCATACTTTGAACGCTATCTTCCCATGACACTCTTGACATCACCGCGCGCATCTATTTCTGGTGCATCGCCGTTACGTGCATGATAGCTGGGAGAAGACGCACACTTAGTTCATCGCACAGCTTGCATGAGCATGTCGTTACATCACCTTCAGCTGCATGCACACCGCAGCCCTAAACTACTCATAAGGCTACGATAGCTCGACTTACCACAGCCTACCAGTTAATGTAACCCCATAGCCACCACCAAGACCTCTATGATGCCATTCGAAGAAGCCCATTGCGCCCACTGCTCACCACCACTGCAGCTAGAAACTCCAGCGCGCTGTGAAACTCGAGCAGCGTTGCGCCCAACGCATACACCGGCCCTCCTCCCCTTCCAATCATCGTGGATCGTGGACCAATTACCATCGGCCCTCACTGTCGGCGTGCAGTGTCCTGCGCAAGCCACAGGAAGGGCTAGACTCTCTTAGCGCCAGCCTCTACAAGCAGCGCCGCTCTGATGTAAGGACCGAATTGGACAGAAGGATGCCAGAAAGGTTTCTTGCAGATGCGTACAGTGCATCAAGGTGGGATCGCGTAGAGGCGTATGGGTCGAATTGGGAAACGCTGAAGACAGGGTGTTAGGTATGTAGCCAAGTGATCTCGTACACCCTTCGCGTTGCACGCCCCATTCGGTAGGGTGCATGGTGCCGTTTTTTGATCTGGCCGGGGACGATACAGGGCTGAAAGAAAGACTTGGATGAATAGGGAATGGGAAAGGGCCGTTTGATCTCGGAGCGGGTTGGGGTTTTGGTCTCGATGGATGGGGGTCTACGTTTGATACGAAAGCTTTGTGTAAACATATTTGCGAACGTTAACCGGAACCGAAAAAAAGCAAAAGCAGCAGCACGTAAACCGCCGAAAGCATCGCAACCTCTCTCTCCAAAGCACACGTTGTAGAACAGCGTTAGACCAGTCCAGCTCTCAGGAAACAGATCTGCACCTAGTTGGACCCCGGTCCTGGGGATCGTCGGTGTTGCCGTCTCGCGTACGAGACCGGACGAGCTAACTAGCCTTGTACCTCGCCGGCATCGTGGCATCCCACACGCCCCCATGTCACAGATTGCGGAAAGCAGACGGGAAGACGGACAGATTGAGCGTGCCGGGCAGTTAGACGAATGAGAGGGCAGAAGCGACGGGAGACTCGGCACTGGGGTCTCCTCTTGCATAGGAGGAGACACGTAGGTAGTTGTGGAAATGAGGTGGACGAAATGTCTTGGAGGAGGCATGTAGCGTGTATTACCCAATTGATGTAGCAAACGTAGGATGGACCATGACGGACAAGCGTCTGCGTTGTAGTCGCCGTTGTACAGTGTTTCTAGCGCATGAGTAGCTCGACTGCGGACGCAATGCCGAAGGACGATGCATCTACACAGTAGGCTGCTACAGTAGGTTTGCATAGCGGCATGCAAGTCGCATCGTAGACCACGAGGAAACATGGGCACAAACCATGCGCCATGCGCCTTCGACCCGCCATCCAGACTCTCTTGACAGGCGTTTCCGTTTTCTCATTCCCATCCGGTAGCCCCCTGAATTGACTCGATTTCCTATTTCTCCAAGGGATCATCGCTCGTCTTGCCTGTTCTCGTGGTTTGCTCTTCTAGATTCAGACGTCTGGACTGTGAGGTTAGAAAGTTGGCCCACGAGTTCCGGAGCTTAGCACCCATAGCTTTGTCAGGGCTCAGCCCTAGCCATCCTTCCCAGACCCCGCGCTACTACCACATCTCTCGACGTTACCGACGCACCGTCAGCCGCACTCTATAACGGGACCGACTACAGCTTTCTTCGTGCACCCTACGACATTTTATTCCTTCACCTCGACACTTGCGCCACGATTCCCATTTGAAGCATTGAAGCGCGCGCTCGCAGACGGCTATCTGGGCATCATCATCCACGGCTATCCGGCATCTCTGCCAGTACGCGCGGACACTTGACGAAACCTCGACAGCAATCGCACATCGCAACTCGACATGTCCTACTATCCTGGCCAGCAATACCACGGTGGCGGTGGCTACGGCGCGCCGCCGCCGCCTCAGAACAACTATGGTGCTCCACCTCCCCAAGGTTACCCTCCTCCACAGCAACAATACGGCGCGCCGTGAGTAGACAATGACGTGCAAAGCTTGACCGGTGCTGACGAATACCAGACCTCCACAGCAATACGGGTACCAGAGTCCGCAACCACCCTTCAACAACAACTACGGCCAACCCACGCCGCCGCCTCAACAGTATGGATACAATCAGGTATGCACATGGCATGCTGAGAAGCAACCGCTCGCGGAATTGATGGCTGACATGCTTAGGGCCCGCCACCACCACAGCAGTACGGCAACTATGGACCGCCACCTCCGCAACAACCACAACAGCCTCCTCGTCCAGGCATGATGCCCACAGCTGGCAGCAACCAATGGACACACGGAAACCACAACGCTCCTCCACCCCCACCATCCGGCGCACAGAACTTCGGTCACGGCGCCCCCAATGGCTACTCGTTCCAATACTCAGCGTGTAACGGTCGGCGGAAAGCGCTGCTTATTGGGATCAACTACTTCGGCCAACGAGGTCAGCTCCGTGGTTGCATCAACGATGTGAAGAACATGAGCACCTACTTGAACGAGTTCTTTGGCTATAAGAGGGAGGACATGGTCACCTTGACCGACGACCAGCAGAACCCCATGAGCCAGCCGACCAAGGCTAATATTCTACGGGCGATGCACTGGCTGGTCAAGGACGCAAGACCAAACGACTCGCTGTTCTTCCACTACTCAGGTGCGTCTTCCCTCATGCACAAGCATACTGTCAGACAACTAACTTGAACCAGGGCACGGTGGCCAGACCAAAGACCTCGACGGAGACGAAGACGATGGCTACGACGAAGTAGTCTACCCAGTGGACTTCCGCACCGCCGGCCACATTGTCGACGACGAGATGCACCGTATCATGGTCGCACCCCTCCAGCCCGGTGTGCGATTAACCGCCATTTTCGATTCCTGCCACTCCGGCTCCGCCCTCGATCTGCCTTACATCTATTCCACCCAGGGCGTGCTCAAGGAACCCAACCTGGCGAAGGAGGCTGGCCAGGGTCTGTTGGGTATCGTGTCGAGTTACGCACGCGGCGATATCGGCAGCATGATTGGCGGTGCCACAAGTCTGTTTAAGAAGGCGATCAATGGCGACGAAGTGTACAAGAAGAACTTGCGAACAAAGACCAGTCCTGCCGACGTGATCATGTGGAGTGGATCCAAGGACACACAGACCTCGTAAGTTTTCTACCGACTGATTCTGGACTTGACATGGACAATACTGATATGGGGGAACAACAGGGCCGACGCAAGTATCGGTGGTGAAGCTACCGGAGCCATGTCGTGGGCTTTCATCTCTTCGCTGCGCAAGAACCCGAATCAGAGCTATGTACAACTACTCAACAGTATTCGTGATGAGCTGGAGGGCAAATATCAACAGAAGCCTCAGCTGAGCTGCAGCCATCCGTTGAGTAAGCCTTTTCTCTACCTTGCTGTCAGCACGAACGACAAGCTAACTGGAGTAGATACGGACCTGTTGTACGTTATGTAGACGTATAATTGTGGAACGAAGAAGAATTGTTGTAAGATGATAAAGGCTAGGATCAGGTATTTGCATACCAGGGCCTTTGGACTGAACGAATGGATGATACCATGACACATACATCCTTGGATAAGGAAAGCGTGGTTGCTACCAAAATGGATGACTGACGATTGTGTATACGAGTTCCTCTGTATATACTTGGGCACGCGACACGACGATTGTGTGTAAACCAGCACTTGATGTGGCTATTGGAGAGTCCGACTGGATTAAAAGAAGTCGTTATTCATTATCAAGGGGTATCGAACTTTGTTGTCTATCGCGTCCGTCGACGTATATCCCTGCTGTAGCACCACTGCTATCCACTATCATCGTCATTCATGATGAATCCTTCCATCCGTAGCTTTCTGTAATATAATCACGAAGAGCCAAAGCAATTCACCACCCACACCTAGACATCCGCAATCTCCTCATCAACCCAATCCCTCCAACTCCTCCACTCGCCCCAGCTCAACGCTACCTTCTTACCCTGATACCTCGTGACCTTCAACGCAACCTTATTCCAATCCGCCTTCTTACCACCCCACCCCGCCTTCCGCATCAAACTAACCAACGCCTCTTCCTTCGTCCACCCCTGTTCGCTCGCCACATCAGGCAGATACGTGCTCCCATAACGCCTACCCTTTTCCTGGAAGCTAATCCGCAAGCCATGTGTGCCAAGCTCCCAATCCATAACATCGTCCACGGGCTCAAAGTCTGTGAGGAGCGTGACGGCGCAGGAGAGCGTAGGTAGTTCGCGTGTGCTAATGGGCGAGAAACGCGTATCGTCGAAGGCGGCAGTGAGCGCGTAGGACGAGAGACCCGTGGTGAGGGGCTGGGCTGAAAAGGTTCCAATGCAGCCTCGAAGTCGCTTCTCACCGGAGCCCGACACAGTGTTCCATGTTACGAACAAGGGATGCTCTTCTGCCTCTTCCTCCTTATCGACCAGGTTTGTAGTGCTGCTGCTCTGGCTTGTGATGCTACTTGGTGTCTCGCTGCTTAGACCACTGGGCGTCGAATTCGCACTTTGCCGGCTTGACGAACTTGCGGACGAGGGTGGGGAAGCGAGGATACGCGATATCGCGGGTGTTTTGTGGGAGCCATCTACCTGTGCGGCGGCCTGGTCTGCTTCTTCCGCTTCGGTCTCGTCTTCGAGCTCAGAGGTTGTGGTAGGCTCAGTGTTGTATTTGGCCCAGAGATGTTCGACTTGGGCGAGCGTGAGGGCAGGGCGCTTCTCGAGGCTTGCGACGAGCGTTTCGAAGCAGAACGCGCAGTGCGCTTGGGTAGCCATGGTGGGATGGTGGGGGCGGTGACGTTCGACCGGAGCGAGTGGGTGGAAGCCGAGAGGCGTGGGCTGGGTTGGAGAGGACTACAAGGCGGGAAGAACTGAATGGCGGAGAAAGAAGGCTTGGGAACACAAGAGTCTTGCAGTAGAAGACGGGTAGATATGACGGATGAATCCGGGGTGTAGGGCTGCTAGCTAATCGGGCAACGACAGGGCTGTGCAGCAACGTCAGGAACGGGAACGCCTCGGCTGACTTACCTCCGCGGAGAGACGTGTGACAGTGTCAAGGAGCGTCTTATCGATGTCTGGCGACTGCAGACGCCTTCGCACCAGCTCAGGAGGTTTGGCATCGTGAGAGACTTGAGCGTCGCGGTCGCAGACTATGGAGGGAAGTGTCAAGGTTCCAGTAACAACCCCGTCGATCCTTTAAGTTGTATGTCTAGGAAGCGTCATGAAGTAACGGAATTCGCACAATCTGGATAGGATAATGTCATTGATTGAAATACATATATATGTATGCATGCAATCTCACGATGTACTGACTGCACAACTCTCTAGAAGATGCACCGAAAGTCCAAAGCACTGAATCAACAGTTGGTATGTAACCCCATCTTCATGCACACGTACCTTACGGGGTAGAAGGTCGTGTGTTTGGTAATGATGGGGGTGCTTGTTCTTGCCACGATAGATTTTCCTTCAGCAGGTCGAGCATGGAAGAGCTCTGTTGCTGTACACACTAATGGCTGGGTTGAGATTTGCACCTCGTTGGTCTCTGACTTACCTGGAATCGTTGCGAACGATCGAACAGCCTAACACATCACTTGGACAGTCGCGCGCTGGTGGAACCGACCTGACTTTTCGACTTGTTTCATTGCCGCATTTCATGCCTGCAGTAGGCGTGAAGCCGCGTGCTCCAATCCCTCGAGCTCGAAGCTGTCATAGAAAGTCCGAATGCCATTGACGCCGACCAGATGTCTCATAAAGGAATCGAAAACCGCCATCGTCGCTCGCTCGTGATCGTATCGTCCTTTATGCCGAGTCGCGCTTACCCTCCTTGACCTCCTTCTGTGTGTTTGTTAGCGGGCCGTGTTCCCGTGGGACGGTGAGGTGTTGGTACGCACCAGAGCGCGCATGGTGCCGTGAAGAGCATGCCTGTGGTTCCTCCTGAACTTGGGGTCGGTTCCCTTGAGCGAGGGGTAACGGTGGGTCTTGGGCTTCTTGATACTGTGTTGCCATTGCATCAGCTTTTGTTCTCATCTAGGTATCCACGATCCTTCGCGTTGTAGATGCTTCATCTGCGGGATGATGGCGCGTGCGATGGAGGAGGGTGATGCGTACCCGTTACGGTGGTTCTTCTTGGACTGGTTGTGCTGGGACGAGTTCTTGGATTCTGCGCAGCTCCGTTAGTATTCTGGCCATGTAACTCGTGAGCTACCGTCAACGTACTGGCCATGGCGACGGTTGTGGATGTCGATTTGGCTGTGTGGTATTGTCGAAGAGCTGATGTCGGGGAACGAATTTGCTGTGCCCAGGTGTGGTGCAGCTCGTAAGCGAGCGGGATTTCGCGCTAGTGGTAGCGTGACGAGGCTTGTGCACCGGCAACACCAGGTGGGCATCACAACATCACCATGTCTTCAGTCCTCTCAGGTGACATTCGAAAATCAATCACAGGATTCTAGAGAGTGGCTCGCAATATCGCTGTTTGCTCCATTGTTGCATCGTCCTCGCATGTATTGCCAACACCACTTTCTCGCGCACGACGGAGTTCATGACCAGCATTCCGGCTTCCCCTTGAGTAAGGGGATGTCGAGCAGTTGGGCTGCAGCCCACGTTAATACAAGACCAAAAGTCTACAACATCTTAAGGCGATGTAGACTTCGAACGTGCTTACTTCTAACACGTGTTTCATCTCTTTCCTAAGTTCGGTGGGACGATGTCGATATCTCCCGAGCTCGCACATACACTTTCTGGAGTTCCGGTCGTGCTTGCGTTTTTAAGTTTCAATGTCAACTTAATCCACACCGGATGGCGTCACTGTCACTTGGCACCGCCCTCATTCCTGACTACTTCTTCAAGATCGCTCATTACAAGTACCCTTCGACGTCGGCACTTTTCATTTGGAAAGGATGGCCTGTCATCTAAAGCGATGTACTCCCTCGTAATAGGCGTCGTTTGCGAAACCATTCTGTTCGTGGCAGATCTGGTATACGCAAATTTAGTTTCAACACGCAATTTAGTACGTCTCGGAATTTCAGGAAAGAGCAGTGCATGGTCATTGAGTGTAGAAGGCGGCGTTGCCGTATCGGGCCCTCTTACCTGATGTCTGCACTTTGTCGCTGCCTTGCTTTTTACCCAGCCTCACCTGGCTACCAACGTCTCAAGCCATGTAAGGCTAGTCACTACTGTCCCAAGCCGTCCCATCTCCTTTGTCGATCAGCGGAAGACGTGCGGCACTATTCCACTATCTCGCAGGCTTCCCCAGAACGCGGAACCGTGCCCGTCCACCGGGTGTGCACGCCGATGAATGACGATATCGTTTAATTGGCTACTGTTGATCACGCCTCGTCAACCCTTACTGAGGTAGTAATATGCTGCAGCGTCGGGGCGACTACACCCCAGAAATCGCCGTGCTCTATATATCCTGTTACCAGACTCCGATCAAGCGTCGTCGTCACTCTTACATCGACCATGGAGAATCCGACGATGAAACCATCGAGTGTGCCAGACGATAAGACCGTGGTGCTTAACGATACATACGGAACTCACATCGACCCGTACGCTGAGAAGAAACTCCTTCGGAAATGCGACCTTCGCGTTCTTCCGCCTCTCTTTGTTCTGTTTCTCCTAGCCTTTTTGGATCGTGTTAACATCGGTACGTTGCTGCCACTCTAGTAACATGTGTGCGAGCTAACAGAACGTAGGCAATGCGAAGATCCAAGGGTTGACCGAGGACTTGAACATGACAGGCCCGTTGGCCTATCGTTACAACCTCGCTTTGTCGATATTCTTCGTCCCCTATGTCCTCTTTGAGGTACCGTCCAATCTCATCCTGAAAAAGATGAAGCCCTCGACATGGCTTAGCCTGATCATGATATGCTGGGGTTAGTCGCGGAAATTGGCGTGTAAGTGCCATGCTAACGAGCCTTAGGCCTTTCGACAGTCGGAATGGGCCTTATCACCAACTTCGGCGGCCTATTAGCGATGCGCCTTCTGCTAGGTCTTTTTGAAGCTGGTTAGTATTGTCCATGTACGAATCGCAGGTGCAACATTTACTGACTTCACAAACCAACATTCAGGTTTGTTTCCTGGATGCCTGTACCTGATCTCGATGTACTACAAGCGTTACGAGCTTCAGTGGCGCATCACCCTCTTCTTCAGCGCGAGCATTATCGCTGGAGCATTTGGTGGCGTAAGTATGCATATTTCAATCGGTAGTTCGTATTAACCTCTCGTAGCTCCTTGCATTCGCTATTGCCAAGATGGACGGCATCGCAGGCTACGGAGGATGGTAAGTACACCTCACCATGAATGTACATGAAAGAAACACTGACTTGGTCGACCATTCAGGCGCTGGATTTTCATCATTGAGGGTGCCGTCACCGTTGCATTCGGTGTCATCATGTATTTCTGGATTCCTGGGTGGCCCGAGAAAGCAGGATTCTTGAACATGGAAGAGAAAACCCTTCTTCTAGCACGCCTCAACGCCGACACAGGTGATGCGGTCATGGACAGATTGGACAAGAAGGCTGCGAAGAGGATCTTTTCAGATCCCAAGATCTATCTGGGAACTCTTGCCTACTTTGGTGTGTATCCTCCTTACTATCCCGTCTTCCATATCTACAACAGGACATGTGCTGACCATGCGCTTCCACTTATTAGGAGTCGTCAATACTGGCACTGCTGGTTCCATCTTCACTCCAACTATCGTCAAAGGACTCGGTTACACATCTTCCGCCGCCCAAGTACGCTCGATACCTATATTCATCGTGGCAACCATTGCAGCCGTCGCAGCAGCCTGGCTGAGCGATCGCATGCGCCATCGCTATTGGTTTTGTATGTTCGGACTCGTCGTCGCATCAATTGGCTACATCATGCTTCTCGCCCAAGAGAATCTCCCAGCTGGCGTGAAGTACTTTGCCCTCTTTCTCGTCACACCTGGCGGTTTCATCACTCAGCCCATCGTGCTCGCCTGGATGTCCAATCTGGTGTCTGGACACTACAAGCGCTCTGTTAGCTCTGCGATGCAAGTCGGATTCGGTAACCTGGGAGGTGTCGTGGCCAGTAACATCTTTCTGGAGAGCGAACTGCCAGGGTTTCGGACGGGATATGGGACCAGTCTGGGTTTGTTGTGGATCTGTGCTGCGGCTTGCACCGGACTTTTGTTCTTGGTCAAATGGGAGAACGCGAAGAGGGAGAGGGGCGAGAGGGATGGAAGACTGCAAGAGGTGGACGCTGATAATCTGGGTGACGATCACCCGATGTTCAGGCTTACGTCTTGAGGCAAGGATGTGGGATGTCTTGTGAGACAAAAGTCAGAAGTCAATCAGAACACTCTGGTAGCAGTTCAAAATAGACGTCTGGCACTTTTTTTTTTGATGTTGGCTACCTCGTGTGTATTGTGTTTTTTTCTCGGTGCACTCGTAGTGGGCATTATACGTGCCTTCCCTGCGTCGCTGCTGCCTAAGCACCAAAGGTCAGGATGGAACTTGACCCGGCGTATTTCCCCTGCCGCGTCATGTCAACTAACGTGATACCCAAGAGTGTTATAGTATCTGCCAATCTTTTTCAGTTTCCATAGGACTCATAGCTGCGTCGGTCCAATCATCATCAGATCCAATCTCGTCTTCGGTGTCGGATTTGAGAATTGGTGAAGATCCGGACGTCTCTTTGGGCTCTCCGTCATTCCTTATCTCATCCTCTGCTGTGCCGAGTCCATCGGACAAATCTTCCTGAGCCTTGTCTTGCTCGTCCGGGCTATCCTCCCCATTGTCCTCGCCCATTATTTGATTGCTGAATGGCCGCGTATTCTTCGTGTGTGGTGGCGTAGTCATGGCCTCAAAGAATGCTCTAGCATTGCTGTATTCTCTTGTCTCACCACTCCACAGAATACACCCGACTATGATCTTTACATCATCTCTGTGTAGAAGGATGCTGAACTCGCTCGCCGCACCCCAGAGACTCATCTCATCATCCCATATGTTGAGACACAGTGTCTTGAATCCAGTCAAATGCTCCAGAATGTAGTTGGCTAGCTCGGCAAATGCTCTTTGGGTAGCCTGTGCTGAACAGTCTTCTTCGTAAGGTTGCACGAGAAGAGATAGGCTTGTAACGTGTTGGCGAGCAGATGGACCGATGCTTTCTAACCATTTTTGAGTCGCAAATGCTTGGTACCGTCCGCGCGGACACGGGCCAGTCAGTAAAAGGAAGTTGCGGCGTTCGTATACTGTCGGCTCGGCATCTTCATGGACTTGGTTGCGGCGCTCCTTTTCTTCTTTTGTTGCCGGTCGCAACATGTTGACTGGACCGTGGGCGGATTGGAGCACCCATAGCTCTTCTTTTCTCGTTTTGAAGCGGACTTCGGGGCCGATGCATTTGCTTCGAGTGTAGATGTGGCCCGGCTCTCTGCTGTCTTGCGAGGGAAGATCGGATCTTGGACATCGACAAATGTCGATTTGTGTTTGTCCGGCAAAGGTGGTGTTGCTGGGGTTCTCGAAATGAGGCCACTCTAGAGTATAGTTGATTGTCGTTACGTTGTCTGTCGTTGAGAGGTGTGGCATCGGTTGATTCGGACTTCGATACATAGCACCGGCGCCAGTGTGGAGTATTGGGGGAATCTGCTTGCGAGAGTGAGGTCCGATGGCTTTGACCAAATTGAGAACTCCTTTGCTGTAATACACCGTGCTGCCCAGACCGTACTGCGGAAGGCGCGTGATGCTCTCTGTTCTGGCTCACTTGGTTTACTTTTTCGTCAAGTCGCCCAAACACGAGGCTGATAATAGGTCATCATGCATACCGCTACTCTCACTACGCCTGAGATACCAACCACACTTTGTACGAGCCCTATGAGGAACCGGATGAGGAAATGCTGTACGCCTAGTTACGCTAAGAATAGTAAGCTATGCTGGCACAGCTGAGTACGAGACGAGGCGAGAATGCGTCAGCGCTCGATTGCGCGTGGCGAGAAACAGGATGGAAGTTGTGAAGTCTTGATGTTGTCGGTGAAGTAACCGTGAGTGTAGCGGAGGGTAGGTAGGTGAGACGGGCAGATGGGAGCTATTTGTGGGGTCCGGTGAGCAACGCGCACCAGTGTGAGGTGTCGGTATGCTAGGAATAGGATTCCTGCGCGCATGTCATGCCCATGTCTTTGCAGGAGCGAGACGGGGTCAGCGCGAGTCGATCATGCAGTGGTGCAGTGTCGATGATAGGGCAGCCACGTCATTGGCCCAAGCGTGTTGGATTACATGGACAAGCGTCACGATCACGGAGCTTCGCGACATGCACGCCTCTGTTGACGCGCCATGCCATAGTAAACACGACGCCGCTGTCTAGATGACCCTCGCCCGCTGTCTTGATGGCCGAGACTGGGAATGCTGAGCCCCAGACGCCGATCTCTGAGGGACCCAGCTCGCCCACCACACCCACGCAGGAGAGCAGCAATGCGTCGGCCAAGTCGATTACTGGGGAGCCGATTGAGCAGCAGGACTTTGCCAATCCGACCCTCAGCATAATACGGAACTTCTCGCGCAGCACGTCGGCAAGCTCGGTGGCGACCAAAGAAGAAACCCCTCCGCCGCTGCCACCCCGACCCGCCCTCGGTCTACTCTCACGACCCTCGACGTCGCACTCTACGGCCGCTGGGAGACCCCAACTCCTCTCCAAAGCCACCACGCAGCTGTCTGTCGCCCGGACACAGGCGTTCGCGACTGAGGCGAAAGATGAGTCGCCCACGTCCTCGGGACCCAAGACACGCGACGTCTTGGGCGCAAGCCTAGGCGCTCACAACCTCAGCGATGCCGACGACGGCGCGAGTATACGCAGCTATGCGCCGACAATAGAGGCGGCAGGCTATCAGGAGAGCCTCCTGGGCGAAGTCATGGGCCAGGCAGAGAAGTCCGAGCAAGAGAAGTCACTGCTCAGGACGCTGGGCCACAAGTTCGTCGATGCCGAAGCGCAAAGCATGTTCCCGCCGGACCCATACTTTGAAGAGGCTTTTCGTCGCGAGTTCGATGAGGTCGACGAGATGGCCATGGATGGGTCGAATGAAGGTCAGAAACACGGCATGTACCTAGAGGTAGCCCTCGCTGATGTAGTCAATAGAAGCCGTTATGCACCAGTGGCGCGCAAAACTGAAGCATTTCCTCATCCTCTCAAGTGCCGGCAAGCCCATCTACAGCCGACATGGCGACGACCAGCTCATCACGAACTACATTGGTGTCGTGCAGACCATCATATCCTTTTACCAGTCCACCAACGATATATTGAGAGGTTTCACAGCAGGCGACGTACGATTTGTCGTCATGTCCAAGGGCCCTCTCAACCTGGTAGCCATCACGCGCTTACCAGAGAGCGACTCCCAGCTCCGGTCACAGCTCGAGGCACTCTACATGCAGATCCTATCCACTCTCACGCTTCCTAGTATGGAGCGCATGTTTGCTGCGCGTGCGAACTACGATCTTCGCAGACCGCTGCAGGGAACAGAGACACTACTATCAGCGCTTGCAGATGGCTTCACAAGAGGCTCACCATCGACACTGCTCTCCGCTCTCGAGTGCCTCAAGCTCCGCAAGTCGCATCGTACCACCATCAACAACACACTTTTGAAGACCCGCTCCGAAAGTCTGCTCTACGGTCTTCTCGTCGCATCCGGGAAGCTCGTGTCCGTCGTCCGGCCCAAGAAGCATAGTCTGCACCCTGGTGACCTGCACCTGATCTTCAACATGCTCTTCGAAGCCGGTAGCGTCAAGGCTGGGGGTGGAGAAAACTGGATTCCACTATGCTTGCCAGGGTTCAACAACACCGGCTACTTGTACATGTACGTAAGCTTCCTCAATCTCGAACATCCAACGGAGCAAATGCAAGAGCGGCCTCGCACGAGCGATGGAGCCGACGACGAAGTCGCGGTCCTCCTGATCAGTGCGGAGAAGGAAAGCTTCTTCGAGCTTAGACGTATGAGGGATGATTTAGTCGAGGTAAGCTCACAGTTTCTTTACATTCCACTGCAAAGTCTCCTTAATACACGGGGGACCGGGATGAGACGTGAGGACGCGTGGAATGCTAGTCAAATGGCCTCTCTTTCCCGCCCCAGGACGTTGTCCCGTGCCTTAAGATTGAAGCGTCGAACGATGTGGGCTCGAACGGGCTCGGAGGCGAAATTGACTCATTCTCGGTGTTCTCCCATGGGTTCTCATGGGTTTATTGCCGGTAAGCGCGAATTGTATACCCGTACGAGGCCCACGGGGCAACTTTGCGATTCGGCTTCGGACGTCTGCATCTCCGATGGTCCTAGCCCATCCTCCCGGTCGGATTCCGCATTCCCTTCCCTTTGCCCCGGTCACCGCGTCCTTTCGGTCCTTCGATGGTCCCGTTCGTTTGGTTCCAACATGGCCAGGGTTATTTAACAAAATCGCAATGCTTTCGGTAGATGTTTCGTGGGCTAACGGGTGTTTCCGCAGAGCTTGCAACGCAATGGATCCATTGAGGCTATACGCACAGCTGTGCAGCAAGGCCGTCCCACTTGTACAGACATTGTGCCCGGCAGTCCGCTGAGGCACTTTCTGTATAAGTCGAGGGGTAATGTGCAGTTCACTATGCCGAGCTACACACCTTACTTCGAGGGTGATCTGGAGAAGAGACGGTCCGTATCCCCACCCTTGGCACGTGATTTCGCAATCAACTGCCCCACATGCATACCAAGAAGCCTTGCTGACACTATCGTCTCCTCTAGATTGATCGACCTGTACAATAAACTTCACAGTAATCTGCACAACAAGCCGTCGACGCTTAAGGTGCATCATGAAACCAACACGACGTGTATAGCGTTAGCGTGGAGTACACCGCTGTTTGAGCTTTATGCTGTTGCGCCGGCAAATACGTCGAGAGCAGCGCTTGCACAGAGTGCGAACAAGGTCATTCAGTGGGTGCGACGAGAAGAGGAGAGAGTGTTCATCATTGGAGGTGCTGTATTCTAGAATTTCAACCACGCAAGGTGTTACAATCGGTAGAGCTTATATACCCATTAAAGCAAGGCAAGGGGAAAATAATAGTATACCACAAACATCTTTATTGCGACTATCATCAGAGACACTATGCAGTGCATCTCCAACTAAGCCTTTGGCAAATAGCCAGCTCCCCTCATCTGCTCAAACACGTCTCTCAAACTTGCCCACGTATCTCTGTAGCCGGTCCAACCAAACTCTCTTGCCTTGCTCATGCTAATGACCAGATCAAAGTTGCGTCCCAGTGCGAACCCGGTGAAAGCCCACGTCGCCTTGTCAAAACTACTCTTGTCCAGACCTTCACGCTCAGCAAGACGTTCCCATGCAGCCTTGACATCGGCCCGCTGCGACCACTTGATCAAATCCACATGCTGCTCCACGGCATTCTTCTCCAGCGCCGGTGTGCCTTGAATCCCAATCTCATCTGCAACAACGCTGATGGGAGGCTGAGGCGCCATTTCCATAGTACTCGACATGTCCTCTTTGCCCACGACTTTCTTGATTAGGCTGGATCCCACACCGCCGCTTGTATACGCATCTTTGAATTGATCGGGCTTAACTCTCCCACCAAAGTACTCAACAACCTTGGGCCAGAGGTTCTGCCAGCTCTCTACATCGCCGTTGACGACGTTGAAAGCCTGATTGGCGGCCCGTGGCTCCAGAGCAGCCCAGGCACAGAACTCAGCGTGTAGCTTGGAAGAGGTAAAGGAGTCGAACTTGGTGTAGAAGGCGGGTGAGCCGGGGAACGTGACACCTTCGTTTCCGGAGAGCTCTTTAGATACGAGGGTGTAGAGAGCGATGGCGGAAGAGAGGTTCATGAAGTTTCCCAAGGCGAAGCCGATGACATCGTTGGGGTAGGTGGCTACCCACTCTTTGTTGTGTTTCTTGCAGAAATCGTGCAAGATGTTTTGCTGGTTGTAGTAGAAGTTTGGGGGCCATTTCGATGTGTCGGTTAGCCAGGGTAAGTCTTCGGTCATGGGTTGTTTCGGCATGCCTAGGTGCACACCGTATTGCTTGCAACCGCATACTAGGATGATTCTCTTGACATCTGAGACTGCGCCGGTTTTCTCGAGGGCGGAGAGGAAGTTGGAGAGCATGCGGCCGTTGACTTCCCAGGCGTCTTCTTCTTTGTCTTGGGCTAGGTAGGCGGCGAAGAAGATGTATTCGCCGCGCACGTTCTTGAGATCGTTGGCCATTTCATCGGGAGATGACTGTAAGTCGATGTGGTTGTGAATGACGTTGTCTGCATAGTCTTCCTTCTTGCTGCGCGAGAGCGCATGGATTGTGGGCCATTGTTGGCGGTGTTGGCTGAGTTCGGAGACAATCTCACGGCCAAGGATGCCTAGGCCAGGTGAGGATAGGACCGAATGGAGTGACTTTGGTACGTACCAGTTGCTCCGGTGACTATTGCAGAAGGCATGTTGTAATGTGTGAGTTGTGTGAGTCGATTGCTGTGTAAGTTGACGTTGGAGGAAGTGACGGTATAAGAAGCAAATGGCTGTGATTCATGCATGACGTAACAATGCCTTCATGAAGAGGTGTGTCACGAATAGACCTCATGATGCAACATCCACTTGGCAAGATAGTACATCTGAGGTGGCGATGCGCTCACGGCTATCGCATCCGGCGATTTGGGTCGATGCGGTAATGCATCGATCACAGATGTCTGCCAAGATCGCAGCACCCAGTGTGGGAGCGGTGTCTTCGTATGTGTTGCACACTTGAGTCGAGTGAGAATGCGTGGCATTGTAGAGAGAGTGCTACGAACAATCCTGGCTTCCATAGCCTCCAAAGAACATATGGTGGTAGTAGGCATAGAGCATATGGATCCAAAATTGGCACCAAATCGAGAGTTGAAAACTCGCATGCTCGTGTCCCAGCCACCATATGAAAGGGATCTCTGTCTCTTCGTGTCTTCTGAGCAAGCTTGTAGTCTCCTTCACCGAGCTAGGAGAAAGTGAATCCAGCATGGTCTGGTGGGGTGTGTGGTGAAGAACATGCTCGGCATAGAAAGATGCTTAGCGAAGCCGCACGTCAGACAGATTACGTCTTTCCGTTTTGCCCTCTAGCCCTAGAAGATGTATCTTCGTTCGCGTGACTCGTGTGGACTGCCTGCCGTGCGCTCTTCGACCATTGTACTTCCGCCTCATGCCGAATCAGATGCCAGGTGTCGCGTGTCGCGGGGTGCCCGATGTATTCGTAATGCGTTTCGAATAGAGTGAGAGGAGAGGAGCAGTCTTGAATTGAAGGCGTTCTCATTTAGGAGGGCGCTTTTGCCATGTGAGTTCGCGGAACTGGTTCTTCACTTCGTCTCTGAAGTGGTCGAGGGATGATGGGCCGGTTCCTGAAGAAGTCAGTACTTAGTCGTCTAGCCGGTGTTGATCAAGACATACTGCCTCCGCCATTCTTCTGTTCAAAGTCGGGCAGCCTGTTGATCTTGCGATAGGCCTTCTGGATGGCTCGGTTGAATGCCGGGGAGCGGATGAGCTTCGGAAAGTCAGTTACTAGAGCGGATTGGGACATGAGAGGATTGTCGACGTGCCTTTGCGACGGCCCAAGCCTTGCCCAGCTGTCAGCTTGATGTCTCTGTTTGGGTAGGGAACGGCACAAACCTCGAAGAGAGCGAACCAGGGAGCACCCATGGTTTGTTCAATCAAGCATTCACAAGCGCGGGTAGCTGCTACGGAAAGATAGCAGATGCGTGCAGGCGTTGCGTTGGGGAGGGGTGGTGGCAACGGTGTGGGAGAGATGGAGCATGGAGAAGCCTCGGAATGGCGAGCGAAAGCAACTAGACACAACCGGGACTGGGCCTGCCTCCGGGGCTGCACCTGTGACGCGACCGCGCCTGACGTTTGATGTGGACCCTCGCTTCATTGATTGTTTCTTCTGGTGACGTACAAATGTTTGGTTTCTGGACATCTCAAGTCTCCCATCTTCATTTCCGTGATTGCATCTTCTTACTATCGCTCTGGGATAACATCGGCCGCCTTGTCAGCCTGCTCGACAACGCCTTGACCTGCCTGCGCACCCCCGCCGGCTGCTCCACTACACGCTCGCGTACAGCCCCTCATCTAGAACACGCCTCGCTGGAACCTGGTTCTTGGGCGCTGCACGCCGTTGGCTGGATAATCTTACAGTCGCCTTCCTCGCGCGACAACAGCCCCGGAATCGCCTTGGACGTCAGTTTGTCAACTTCCCTCGGCCAGCCACTGCACAACTGCGCGTCGTCGCTCAGCGTATTGCTATACGCTCCACCATCGCTACACATCAATCTGGCAAGGCCCCGGACCCCCACGAGTCGCACACGTGTCAGTGGAGGCATATCATCTGCGGCACTCCACTATCAAGCCCGTTATTCCTTTCTTGGACGCGCCACGCCTGCACCTAACCGCCTCCCGTCACCATCCCCTCGTCAAACTTTCTTGCTCCTCCACTGCCAGGACCCGAATCGCTCCCGGAATCCCATCACAACTTCTTCAAGCTGCATAAACTCCGCGCCCTCCGGCGCAAGGCGAAGCTCAAGGGCGTCCTCATCAGGACCGACCCAGCCATGGCGACAGCCGGCGATGCCATCTCTCCTACCTCGTCCAAGCGCTCCCGTAGCAAGGACAGCACGCGATCAATCACCACCTCGTCCCTCAACACCCCAGCCGCCAACACTCCCTCTGTGAGCACGAATAGTCTCGTCATCTCCACTGCGCCCGTCACAAGCGAAGCAAATGGCGAAGATGCAGTTCCGTATCCCGCTTTCCTGAAGCCGAGCAACAACGTAAATACCAAATGGAATCGCTTAGAGATGGCGCAAATGGAGCGCCTAAGGGACACGGCCCAAGGGACTGGATCCGACGAACCCGGCAAGTGGGCAAGGTGCTTTGGGGAAGACTATGCCATCCGCAACCGATACATCAACGTCGACCCATACCAGTCCAACAGAGTGCATCTTGACGTACCAGAGGGCCACTTCGATTACATCAATGCCTCGCCAATACTGCTCGAAACCACCAAGTCTGGGACGGCGCTGAAGTACATTGCGACCCAAGGCCCCAAGTCCGACAGCTGGTCGCATATCTGGCGCATGATATGGAAGGAGAATCAGTCGCCTGCCGTCATAGTCATGCTGACCCAGACCCACGAAGCGAACCGAGAGAAATGCTACCCTTACTACCCGCAATCACCGTCGAGTCCAGATATGCGCATCAACGAGCACGACGAATTCGAAGACGGCTTCGTACACAACCTTCACCTCGCGTCGTACACAATAGATGAGGAGGCGAGGACGCAAGTGAGGGAAATCGATATGACAACGGATGACGGCAGCGAGTCGAGGAAGATCTGGCATTTGCTCTTCGCTGGCTGGCCGGACTTCTCGGTACCAGAGGGCGACGATCGCGCTGGCATGCTGAAGCTGGTGGACATCTCGCGATCCAAGAACACGGACAACTCGACCAACCCACGCATCGTTCACTGCAGCGCAGGCATCGGTCGCAGCGGCACCTTCATTGCGCTCGACTGGCTTATGCAGGAGCTTGACGAGGGTGCCTTGGACGATGTACCAGAGGACGAGGATCCTGTACTGAGAGTTGTGGAGATGCTCCGAGACCAGCGAGCTGGCATGGTTCAGTCAAAGATACAGTTCCAGTTCATATACGACGTGATGCGCGAGCGATGGCGCGAACGATGGATCTCTGAACATCCCGACGAAGCAAACCAGCTCGGCCTCGCAATCGCAGCGCCCACGTCCGATAGCGAACAACCTGCCCTCAAGCGCCAAAAGTCGTTACACAACAGCGAAGCCGCCAACGAAAGCCTTACGCTGCTGCCATCACGACCGGCGAGTTCGCGAGGTGCCTCCAGCTCGCCAGCGCCAGATGCAGAGGCACGCGCACAACTGGAAGCGGAGCTTCAGGATGCGGATATGGAGTATGAGAAGGGCAAGACATAGTCGTTTCTGCACTTACTGAAGCCTTCACGCC